CATACGGCTAATCATAGAAATTGTATTTCACAATACAAGAAATACGCATGCATGCCTTGAGAAAGGGTTATACAATTTGTTTGATATTATCATATTACAAAAGACCAATAGAAACCGTGAGTGAAGAAAATATGATATAGCATCGATTAGTATTAGTAATAATCATCCTATATACATTTGAAAACACTATTATATGGATAATATATTTTTACATTTTATCTTTTATCATCTATAAATAATTGTATCTACTCATCAAATAAAAATGTAGTATCAAGTATCAACCAACACATGGTAGTCTAGTGGTCGAATGTTTTGCTTTGAATGTTGAAGGACAAAAAGTCAAGATTTCCTACTACAATTTGAATCATGACCATTGTGGATATATATATGACCCAAAAAAAAGACAAGAAACTCGGAGGTAATGTTTATTACAAAACTGGGGAGTAGTAAAAAGATGTTATCAAAATATCAAGTTGTGTAATATATAATTGTGTATAAATACAACATGTTGGTCCTTAAAGAATCGAAGTATGTTGGGTGCGAAGAATTGGCCGGTGCTTTAGATTTTGGAAGATGCGTATGCATTATGTATTTGTTGACTTCATCCGTAATTATTATCGTTAATTTTGTATATTTCAATAAAAACAAAAAAATAAATAGCAATAATTATCATTTTATTGAAGTACATATTATCATCGATATCTTTAAAATCGGAATAATTGGAAACGATGATATGAACTTACGAAAATAGTACACCACCGACGAATTATCAATATTCTCTCAATTAATAAACCAACTTTTGTTAATTTCTCTTAAAAACAGAGAGAAAACGAATCACGTAATTTTGCCGTTGTGCCACACACATTTCCCAAAAATACTACTGGCCCAAAAAGTTTTCGAATATTACATTTTTAACCCCAAAATCAAAAAACGATACCGTTCAAGCAAAAAGGTTGAGCAACTTCGTCGTTTCTCCTCCTCCTCCGTGTAAGTAACCATCACCGGCGGTGTTGTCCCGAAACGACACCGTCGTAACGGATTCCTCCGAGTACATCGACGGTGTTCCCGGCCGATACAACTCCTCCTTGAACGGCGACGTTTTAATCGGAAAAGTTGGGATTAGAGAGAGATCGAGCTCCGACGACGGTTGTTGTTGTTGTTCCGACGCTAAACGTTTCCGTTTGGGCGGAGAAGCCGTCGATCTAGATCTAGAGCTCGAGAATCGGCAGTGGTGGTAGATCTTCCGGTCACCGGAATCATCATCTTGTCGGAAACTCAACATTTCCGTGCAGATCTCAGATGCTTCGTCGGAAGTAGGAGAAGGAAACCCCGCGAATCCTCCTCCGGTAAGAAGCTCCGGGATCGGTCTCAAAGAACCGCCGCGTAAAACCGTCTCAACCGCCGCTTGACAGATATTCCAATTCCCCGTCCACAACAACCCGACGGCTCCGTTCACCGGATTCACAGTTCTCCCACAAGCTTCGTAGAGCAAAGACTGGAACAAAGCTGTTAAAAAGACCAAAATACCCCCTACGATCAGAGACAAAAAAAACGACGGCGTTTTAAAGAACAAGAAGAGATCTGAAGAAGTTTGAAGTACCAGGGCATTGAGATTCCGGTACGGCGGAGATGAAGGACATTAAACCGGCACGGCCGAAGAATTTAGCGACGAAGACGGTGGCGTGACCTTGAGCTTCGGGAGATTCGATCCATTGAATGCATGGTCGGAGGATGCAATTCTCGCTGCAGCCTTTCCGGAGAACACGACAACCATTGCAACTCATGTCTGAAGATTTTGTTAATGTGTTTTTCTCCTGGTTTTGCTATTATCTGGGAGATTCACATGTACTTCGAAGAAGAAGATGAAGATTTGCTTTGTGTGCAAGAAAGAGATCTTTTTGCTCAGAGAGAGAGAGAAGGGATTCGATGTTTGGAAGATGAAGTAGACCAATGTATATATAGACACATTGATACACTGATACTTGAATAAAAGAATGGGTCATGGTGGGGTTTTATTCTATTCTAATTGGATACCTAATGTTCAAGAGCCCCTACAAAATATTTTTTTTCTATCTTAAATAAACTTAAGGTGTGGAAGCTGAATTCAACACATTGAATTTGTACGTGAATTCGGAGAGAAAACTTTGGTTCTAAAAAAGATTTTTAAATCTGATAGACTAATGAGACGAATTTCGACGAATTGGATTTATATTGATAAAAATTGAATATACAAAGAACATCTCGAGTGAGATGTGTTTTGATTGTAGCTCGTAGAGCTAAGTATTCTAGTGCCTAAGCTAATGAAAAGCTCTCCCCTCTGCCCCTCGATGATTCCTCCTATTTATAGACTTGTCAGCTGCTTAGTTAGCTCCAAAGTGGTTCCACGTATTTAGGGGCGGTTCCTAATATCTTGGGGCAGCTCCTAATATCTCGGGCGAAGCTGGGTTCAGCTGGCGGAGCTGGATTCAGCTCCGCGTAGATTTGGTTCAGCTTCGCGTATCTTTCGCTCAGCTCCGCGTATTTCGGGAGAGCTCCAGGAACCTCGGACACGTTCGTAAGTGATTTCCTAAAAATCCGTGGAGCTGACTTACTCAAAGGTCTGTTCTGACTGAGTGCTGGGAGGCTGACCTAGTCAAAGATCTCCTTTGACTTATTCTCAGCCCAGCACTTGCTAGTATATGTATTTAGGCCTTGATTATGCCCAAAATGTTTGTAATCTTTTAAAACATAAGTCTACTAGTTCTTGGGTTTTATGGGCCAGATTTGGGTGACAAATCCAGCTCCAATATAAGACCTATAAAAATTACAAGTGAAATGACTTCTGCTGCAAAATATTCTCCCTTTTCAATATGTA